GATAGATAGATAGATAGATAGATAGATAGATAGATAGATAGATAGATAGATAGATAGATAGATAGATAGATAGATAGATAGATAGATAGATAGATAGATAGATAGATAGATAGATAGATAGATAGATAGATAGATAGATAGATAGATAGATAGATAGATAGATAGATAGATAGATAGATAGATAGATAGATAGATAGATAGATAGATAGATAGATAGATAGATAGATAGATAGATAGATAGATAGATAGATAGATAGATAGATAGATAGATAGATAGATAGATAGATAGATAGATAGATAGATAGATAGATAGATAGATAGATAGATAGATAGATAGATAGATAGATAGATAGATAGATAGATAGATAGATAGATAGATAGATAGATAGATAGATAGATAGATAGATAGATAGATAGATAGATAGATAGATAGATAGATAGATAGATAGATAGATAGATAGATAGATAGATAGATAGATAGATAGATAGATAGATAGATAGATAGATAGATAGATAGATAGATAGATAGATAGATAGATAGATAGATAGATAGATAGATAGATAGATAGATAGATAGATAGATAGATAGATAGATAGATAGATAGATAGATAGATAGATAGATAGATAGATAGATAGATAGATAGATAGATAGATAGATAGATAGATAGATAGATAGATAGATAGATAGATAGATAGATAGATAGATAGATAGATAGATAGATAGATAGATAGATAGATAGATAGATAGATAGATAGATAGATAGATAGATAGATAGATAGATAGATAGATAGATAGATAGATAGATAGATAGATAGATAGATAGATAGATAGATAGATAGATAGATAGATAGATAGATAGATAGATAGATAGATAGATAGATAGATAGATAGATAGATAGATAGATAGATAGATAGATAGATAGATAGATAGATAGATAGATAGATAGATAGATAGATAGATAGATAGATAGATAGATAGATAGATAGATAGATAGATAGATAGATAGATAGATAGATAGATAGATAGATAGATAGATAGATAGATAGATAGATAGATAGATAGATAGATAGATAGATAGATAGATAGATAGATAGATAGATAGATAGATAGATAGATAGATAGATAGATAGATAGATAGATAGATAGATAGATAGATAGATAGATAGATAGATAGATAGATAGATAGATAGATAGATAGATAGATAGATAGATAGATAGATAGATAGATAGATAGATAGATAGATAGATAGATAGATAGATAGATAGATAGATAGATAGATAGATAGATAGATAGATAGATAGATAGATAGATAGATAGATAGATAGATAGATAGATAGATAGATAGATAGATAGATAGATAGATAGATAGATAGATAGATAGATAGATAGATAGATAGATAGATAGATAGATAGATAGATAGATAGATAGATAGATAGATAGATAGATAGATAGATAGATAGATAGATAGATAGATAGATAGATAGATAGATAGATAGATAGATAGATAGATAGATAGATAGATAGATAGATAGATAGATAGATAGATAGATAGATAGATAGATAGATAGATAGATAGATAGATAGATAGATAGATAGATAGATAGATAGATAGATAGATAGATAGATAGATAGATAGATAGATAGATAGATAGATAGATAGATAGATAGATAGATAGATAGATAGATAGATAGATAGATAGATAGATAGATAGATAGATAGATAGATAGATAGATAGAGAGAGAGAGAGAGAGAGAGAGAGGGAGGGGGAGAGAGAGAGAGAGAGAGAGAGAAGTGTAATAGACGATGAAATGTGTGAAAGACAAGTGTTTATGAACAAACATGTTGCACGAGTGTCTTACGACGATATGGTAAATGACAACCTATTATCCACCCTACAGACAGCACAAAATCTTCAGAGAATATTCTGAGGCATTCTTAGAATGTACGAATGTTCTTAGAACATCCATAGAACGTTCTTTGAAAATTTGTGCTGCTATTTGGGCATGTTGTAATATACGTTGAAATATTTCATTTCTTAACAACTCTTAACTCGCGTTTAATTGTTGATGTAACGTCCACGTGTTACACGACTTAAAGCATAACAGTCATAATTATCATAAAAGGGACGTCAAGTTCGTGTCATACCAAGTAAACCGTTGCATCAGGAAACTATATTGTCGCTCGGCGAATCGATCAATATTGAAGAGAGTAAGCGGAGAATCTTATCTTATTGAATAATATTTTTCAGTTGGAACATATGTTATAAGAATGTTTTTCTAGTAGAGAATTTTTCGGATAATATCCTTTACATTAAACACATACGCACATTTTTTTTATTTAATAGTTGATTTTCTTTCGTTGAATATTCACTGCTTCGTCGTTGTAATCGCAGACGTAACATTTTTCGTTCTGACGTATGTCATAAAGTAAAAAAGGAATGAAAAACAAGGCACGATTACGTCTCTGGAATCGAACAGGTTGTGTGCAGCGACCGTTATACTTGCAGCAAAAGACTGGCGTTTTGTGGTCCGCGCAAGGACCGTGGAATTTATAACGGTGTTCGATAATAGACATAGTATTTTTGTCGAGAAGATAATAACGTTTGACGACAAACATGAACACATGCAGACGCGAGATACAGTAAATAGGCCATATGACAATGCCATAGGTACGACAAATCAATGTGTCAATGTGAAATCAATTCGAATCATTTCGAATTTACTCTTTTATCAGGTTAATATAAAAATTTTTTCACTTTTTTCCAAATTCTCGTAGGTAGTTTAGATATTAAAAGGAAAAAAAGAAATCTTCATTAGTTGTTTAAAGAGTATGAACAAATTTTGAATTGATGTTCCCGTGTACTTACAATATTAATATTTTAACGATATCAGAAATCGACACGAAAATCCAATTGTTTCAGTCAATATTCATATATTTCTTTTATTATTCATCTTCATGTAGTTATATAGTTAGTTATCTACTTAACCTTAAGTATATACTTATACTTAACCTACTGTCTTTTTTTCGCGTTGAGTTTTATAATCATTAGAATATTAAAATAGGACCGGACTCAGGTAAACTCTCATGATTATTATAACGCGAGATAATGGAATCGCGATGATGGAAACTTCACGATTCTCTTAATTACATTTATGGAGTAAATATACTGCATTGAATTAATTATCAAATTTAGCTCATATAATAGTGTTGTATTAATACAGCCATGAATTTATTAAAAGTTACATTCAGATTTTCATATTACATTTAACATGATACATTATTTGGGACAAATTTTGAGAATTTTTCTTGTATTTTTTTCGTATTTCTATTTCGTCATTCTATGTGACAAATATAAGTGTAATCTGATCAGTTACGAGGACGTTGCTGAGTTTCTTGATTTAATATACTTAAAGTTGCTATAAAGTTTACGTGTATCAGTCTATCGGTGTAGGTACACAGAAATATTAATTCACAAAATTATTTCATGTTTTAGGAGTTTTGAGGTTTTTGAAGACAGTTTATTATTTTCAAGAAGCTGTTTGTTTCGTACTTTTTAATTATTTACTGAAAATTTGTTTTTGAGAAGTTAAATAAGAAGTTTCGTCTTGTACCTCCAGATGTTCTTGGATTTCCAAGTCCTTGGATTCCAAATAATGAAATTCCCAAATTTCCCAAATAATGAAATTCCCAAATTTCCAAAACAAATTTAAGAATAATGACACTAATTTAAGAACCAATCTAAGAGCTGCAGGTAACGTATTGAAGAGGTTACAAAAATTCATCTCAAGATTTCTAAAGATTCGCGTCAACTAACAAAATCGAATCAATATCGTTCGTTTCACCCGCAAAGATGATTAATTTGTCAAAATTGGGTAATTTCGCTTTCCATTTTGTCTGACAAACACGATGAATCTTTTACATCAACCTGACGCAAGCGATTGCATCGCGCGATAATCGACTCATTAATAAACGTATTATCTTCTCCTTCACCTTGCCATCGCGAATGAGCATTATTATTATTATTTACACTCGCGCGTTAATTCGAATACGCGAGGTGCACTTCGCGACATGTGTAAGATGCGAAATTCTCGAGACATGTTCCGTGTACACACGTGAAGCCACGAGTATTAAATTCACCCGGTATTTACCATGACTTCATCGATCAATAAAGCGTCGGTATAGCGAGATGAGTAAAGTATCGCCAACACTTTTTCATAGACGTTACGTCACGAATGCGGGAGGTTCCGTGCCGGTGCATTTGAGGTCACGGCTTTTGTGGTGCGCGCATCGAGGTCGCAAGTGTGTGTTTGTGTGTGCGCGCGCGTCCACCGGTGTTAACATTGATAGATTACACCGTCACCGCGCGGCTTCAGATAATTAACCAATATAATTAACATCATTGCGTATTTTTTGGTGCGCGCGCGCAGTATTGATTTGCACCGGATGACGTGGGCGATCCAGCAGCGTGGCCGATCGAGAACGATGTCATACGAAGTCTATCGAAGATTATCGAACGATATATCGGCGCGTTGCATAATTCAGCGGCTGCTTGAACTGCGCAATGGATTTGCATAAGCGCACGTTTTCCGATAGACTGTACACTCAGTCGCGAAACGCTTTTTACACTTCTTTTTCTCAATAAAGTCACGGACTTTAGAAGTCAAGATTGTCATAATTGCGGGCCACTTTACCAATTTACACAGCAATTAGTTGTATGTTTTTTGTTACTGGCCAGTTATTGCGCAAATTCGTCGGCAGTGTTTCACAGTTGTGACAATTTTAAGAGCTGCAACTTCATTGGAAAAACGGTATGAAAACCGCTTTTTGCATCTGTGTGTACAGCGAGAAAAAGACACTTGAAAGAATTTATTCGTGTGAAAAAGTTCATTTCGCGAAAGTAAAATTTATCTCGCAGATAATAAACTTTATATCTCGCAAATATTAATGTTCAAGTATTTTTTGTTCACTGTACGTTTCAATTATCCGACTCGTACCTGGCACGTATGATCTTTCGATTCTCCCCCTCTTTCTTTCTCTCTTCCTGTCTCTATCTCCCTCTCTCTCTCTCTCTCTCTTTCTCCCTCCCCATCTATCTCTCACGACAATCGAGTCGACGGTCGAACCTCGTCGATTATCTCGCAGCGCGAGATTGAAGCCAGGACTATTATTTTATTCGCCGTGCACGCGTCCACAACACGATCCGGACGTGGCCACAGCACGATGCAGAATGCGCTTCTTCTGCGCATCAGGTCGCGCGTCGTCACAGGATCAAGTGTTTCCATCGATTGCACCACACGCGCACGCCGAATGACATTTCAAGTTTCGCGAGACGCATAGTCGCGACGGGTCGCCACTGCGCCACACGCCTTGCCGCTTCAGGAGCTCCAACCCGACTGGTTAAGCAGAGCGTAGACTCTCTAACTTATCTACCCAACCCAGACTAGCCTCTCAGTGACGGAAAAGCAAAACGCTTCGCGGAATCCGACGCTCCGATGAAAATTGCGCGGAAAGAGATATACATATATGCACCGCGTGGTCTGGCTGTAATTAAAATGCGCTTTCAGGCTGTTATCGTCGTGTCGTGTTCGCGTGTTTTATGATGTCCGCGCTCTCTCTCTTTCTCTCTCTCTCTCTCTCTCTCTCTCTGTGCATCCGTGTGCGTACGCACACGCTGATAAACAGCAGCGATAATTCTCATGTTTCGACATCGAGAAGATCCTGCTGTTATTACATTTGCAAATGGCGCCTATATCATGACGAGTTTATGTATGAGAGTTGCGGTGGCCGTAAATCGAATGCATCATCGTGTAATGTTGCCGCATTGTGCGAAGAATTATGTGCGATTGTGCGCATGTTTTCTTTTTCGATGTGCAATCGATCCGTGCGAGGTACTGGGCGAGGCACGTTTACCCCTCGGAGTCCTTGAACGCGAAATCTACTCGTTACGAAGAATATGTCTCAAATCTTACGAAAGCAGGGCAATTGCAAAAAGAACAATTAATGGAATACATTGATAGAAGAAAAGAGGGGAGAGAGAAGTAATGATGGAGAAAAATTAAGAACTAAGAACATTTCGATGTTTTTTTCCTTTTCATTTTTGCAAACTGCAAGAGATTTGTACAAGCTATCCCGGAGTGAGGTAGCCCTTTTAGCCCTTTCCACTGGTTAATTAAGGACTCTTTGAGCGCGAAGCACTTCAAAGTTAAATGATTGCTAAGGACGGAATACTTTGGGCTGTCATTAAGGCGATCGGTGAGAAAGATGACTCGTTGAAAAGTCGAAAGTAATGAGCACTGAGACAAATGCAATCTTATTTATTACTATCGCTAAAATATATAAAAGGATATGATAACTGTGTTGCTTGTATCAAGAGTGCAAGCTGAAGAAATTCGTCAGACGTTAATAAAAAAAAACTTTTCTAACGCGAAAAGACTTTTTAATAAATCAATAACAGACTTTTTAATGCAAAAATAAATTCAGAAACTTACAAAAACCTTAAAACTCCTAAGAAATATGGAATAATTTTGAGTCAAAATATTTTCAAACATCTACAATTCTATTCTAATATTCTAATATTCTAACAAAACTTGACTGGTTGAATTAATAATCATATCTCATTTTATTATCTTTCTTTTTACAACTATACAATTTCAGTTACCTATCTAATTTAATTTTTTTGCGCTAATTTCCAATATCATTAGAATATTAAGATAGGAGATTGTAGGTACATAGAAATATTGATTTAAAATTATTTCATATTTTTTAGGTCTTCTAAAATTTTTGCATGCAGTTTTATTTTTGTTTAAATTTTATATTTCATACATTTTACTTACTAAAAAGTTGTTTTTGTGCTAAAAATTTCTTGTTTCAGATTTCAGGTAAAAGCTTCGGTTAAAAGCTTCGTGTTTTGTTCTTGTGTCTTCAGATGCTTTCAAATTTTCCAGAAAGTAATGTATTTCAAGTCATTTTTAGGTCACTTAGACATAGCCGTATAAAAATACTAATCAAAAAACTATATAAATAACATAGTGAATAAGTTGCACAAAGCTTCATTTCAGTATCTTCAACGGTTATGAGTTATGAGAGAATATATAAACGAGTGAACATATAGGACAAATCTCTTTTTTGAAACTAGTTAAAAAATTCCGATATGGAAATCTCCAAGCTACAATGACTAATAAGAATACCATCGTTTCTGAGAAATAAATATTTGGAAACGCGAAGATAAAATAACTGCATTGGCTCCACAAATAGTAGGGCTCCACAAATGTGAGATTACGAGTCTGAGCGTGCGAATTCCGTACAATATTGGTCGATTTGAATTGCTCATGATTCAGGAACTACCGCGCAGCGGTAGAATTTTCTATCTTCTCAGATAAATTTCCAGAGAACGTTATTAAAATATTATACAGTGTTCATGAGACATGAACAGTGTATATCGCATGTACATGTGTGTCCGTCCGTGTAATTCCTTCCTCTGAACACGCAACGAGGATGCTAGATTTACATATCGGAAGCATATTAAATACGATGCATTATGCACGGCGTTCGAGCAACACGAAGAAAATTTGTAATGTGCGTTCACGATGAGAGTACTTATTTTTCTTTCACGAATTCACGGAAGCAGCGCGATCGATTTACGCTTCGTCGAGAGGGAGAAAGAGAAAGAGAGAGAAAGACAGAGAGAGAGAGAGAGAGAGAGAGAGAGAGAGAGAGAGAGAGAGAGAGAGAGAGAGAGA